GGATAAGGTTTCGGAAGCTATAATCCGAAACCCGAAACTTTCGGATTTTGGCATAAAGGGTTTCGGAGCCAACTCTAGTCTGCAGACTTCGGACCAAACATGGACCAAACTCAGATTTGACTAAAAAGTCTGAATATAAAAGTCTGAGTCTGGTCCAAAAATCAACCAGTCTCAGACTTGACTAAAGTTGGGTTCGGGTTCAGTCAATAGGAGCACTAGCAGGGCGTAAAATACCAACTTATTTACTGGCCATTCAAAAATATCGTTCTTGATTCAAATTATTTTATTCTAATGTATCAAAAAAGACACTTTAAACAATGGGCTGCATGGCACTAGGTGTGATAAACTCATACGTGAAGAATATTAGTATAATGAATTCATGCATAAATAAACAAATAAGTCATGCAGTCTTATCAATTAAGAACAGAGCTTCCTCCGTTTCACTACGGACAATTAATAGAAATTTAAATATTAATACAAACTCTAAAAAATATATTAAGTATTAAAAAGTTTAAAATGTTAATATAAATTTGTACGGTATGTATTATAGTTACATAGTTTAGAGACCCTAAAATCAAGGTTCAAAAAAAAAAAAAACAGGGATAAATTCCAAGTTGGATCTAAATTATATTATTATAGAACTTTTGTAAATAATAAACAAAAATATTATGGTTATTATAGTTTGTAGCGATTAATAAATTATATAAAATAACAATATATTACGCAATTAGAATATTTATTTTATTTAATTGATTTATATATTTATTTATTTGGTTATATATATGTATATATTATATAATAAAAATTTTAATAATAATTTTCATTTACTAATATCTTTTTTTGATCTAAGTATGCGAGGATAACTAAAAATAATGTGTAACTAATAAAACGAATCAAATGTTACGTTCATTTCATTGTTTATTGTAGAATAAAAAAAATCTATTATACAAAAACAATGAACAATGACGATTATGACGAGTTTAAATAAAATGATAATAATAATAATAAATAAATAAACTATAACAATGAATAAAAGAATTTATAAATGAAAGTCATTTAGATAATGAATATTTGCACATTAACAAACAAACTATACCAAAAAACTCTAAGTATTTGGCGTAAAATAGATAAACTATTAACAATGAATAAAAAGAATTTATCATTTAGATAATGAATATTTGCGCATTAACAAACAAACTATACCAAAAAACTCTACGTATTTGGCGTAAAATAGATAAACCATTAACAATGAATAAAAAGAATTTATAAATGAAAGTCATTTATATAATGAATATTTGCGTATTAACAAACAAACTACACCAAAAAAAAACTCTATTTGGCGTAAAATAAAAATAGTCAAGTTATTTATCATTTAAGCTAAAATTATCCTAATTGAGTACTATTTTACTCTATTTACAATATTCCTTTTTAAGTTTCATTTTTTTAATAATATCAATAGTTAGAAATTTGGTCCGAAGCCTAAAATCAATTCAGTCTGTTCCGATACTGTTACTCATTTCTTTGATTACTTGCTAATAAAAAAAATTAATATAACTAAATTGGTTGTATTTTGTTCCGAAATACAGACCTTTCTCTTTAAGAAATTCATTTCTTTTTATGGAATAGGGGATTTTTTGCTAATAAATAAAATTTAAAATAATTACTTGCTAATAAAAAAAAATCAATATAACTAAATTGATTGTATTTTGTTCCGCGATACAGAACTTTCTCCTTAAGAAATTCATTTAATTAAAGTTATCAATCTCATTATATAATGTTGGCTTTCTCATTATATAAATCACAATGTTTTTGGTTAGAAGTGCAATATTACAAACCCGGGTAAATGAGTTCCAATCCATTATCCGTTTACCTATTCATCAATCGGATATCCAAATCTGAATATATTCGGATAACTGTTTTAGTATTGATATATCCAGCGAATATATGTCAGATTGTCTGGATATAAATGGATATCCGCGGATATCCAAATCTGAATATATTCGGATCCAGATAATCTGACAATAATCTGGATCCGAATATATTCAGATTTGGATATCCTGATATCCATTTATATCCAGATAATCTGACATATATTCGGACAATTATCTGGATATAAATGGATATCCGAACATCTAAATTGAATATATTCGGATAATTGTTTTAGTATTGATATCCATCCGAATATTTGTCGGATAATGATATAAATGGATATCCAAATAAATTCAGATATGGGTAGGACTCCACTATCAAGAATATATTAGATTATATTAAAATTTCTATCCATTCAAACAGATCCACATTCTACCGGGTAGGTGAAAAATCCCTTTTTTTTTACTAGATGAATTAAAAGCCCCTAGATGAACCTTTTTGCTAATCACTAAAAGGGTCTTGTTCGGGGACTTCACCAAATATACCCTATAAGAAAAATGTGGCGGATCAGCACAGCTTGGTTTCAGATAATCACGGATCTTTTGTCACAGGTCAAGATCCGGACCTGTACAGGCTCAGTGTTGTACATGGACATGTCCATATTTTTTATACGTCCATGTCCATGGACAGTCCACGTCCATGGACAGTCCACGTTGACAACACTGCTGTATAGGTATGATTCGAGTTGATACGGATTTGGTGGACCGTGTGCCCGTGCTAATTGGACTATAAATGGCTCGGCTTTTGCAGCAGTTTACTAGTCGGGTAATGATATGTAGATTTACGTACGTACGTGCCACCACGATAGAAATTTTAGGTTTAAAAACTCGGATTTATTCTGATAACAACAAAATTTCGGCAAAATTTAGGTTAAGTTTAATAAATATTAGATAAATTTTGATTTAAATTTAATAAATTTTAGATGAATTTTGATTTAAATTAGAAAAGTTTTATAAATTCATTCTTTTATTTTGTTAAAATACTTAATAATTCAGTATTTAAATTTTTCCGATTGTTATTAAATATAAAATTAGGAATCAAATCGCACTAAGTCACATAAATTTATGTCTCTATCAATATCCAAAACAAACTAATCATACTATATGTCTTAAAAGTATAAAATTTTTATTAAAAATAAAATACGTATCATTAGAGATAAGCAAATCAAATATTTTTTGAATCTACTGCAGCCCACATTATTGTTTACACTAATGCAGGCCAGAATTATGAAATTCCGAAATATTCCGAAATTCCACCTGCGCAGCATCCTATTCCTACGTATCACAAACTGTAATATAATATGGAAATTTTTAGAAAATTTTAGTTATTTTTAGTTAGAATTTAAAAATTTTAGTTAATACTTGAAATTTTGAAAATTTTATATCTAAAATTTTACGGGTTCCTGCACTGCGATAACAAATACAAACATGTAGATTTAAGATCAAACCAAAATTTATATTAGTAATAACATAATGTGAACAAACTAAGTAAAATTCTGTAAGGAATTATCATAACTTCTACAGTACTATTGATTACTGCAAAAAATTCTTTAGTAGAACTTACCTGCTATTCAGTAACCACATGTAATTAAGATTGAGTTGCATGTGTTAAAATTATCATGATTTCTATTATGATCTACTGCAAAGAATTTTGTTACAGAACTTATTTACATAAGCAGTTAAAATCAAGTTAGTATTGAAGGTATCATGATTTTTCCTAAAGTTACTGTAAAAAATTCTATTATAGAATTTACCTGCTATTCCGATAATCACAGTATGTGTTAAGTAGGTATCGTGCGATTTCTACAATGAGTTACTGTTGTTAATGAGAAAAGTGACTTGTCTGCAAACATGTAATCACAACGAATGGTACCATGATTGTACTTCGAAAACCTGTTCTCACACACAGCCCCCAATCGAATAAATTTGATTAATCAGGAATGCATGATAGTGAAGTTTCAGGATGGCGAAATTCTGACGATCAGGTAATTAAAGTTGTGAGAGAAGCTAATAAATGAAATGAAACTCAAAAGTAAAGTATTAGATATGACAGTATAAAAAGACAGATCAATTATAATGTTCTATTAATCTGTTATCTGAGGGTTTTGCCTTGAAAATCACATTACGAGATTTTTAGGGCAAAGACCCCATTTGTTAATCTTTGATCTGTACTTAATAAAATTAAAAATAAGTTCGATCTTGATTTTGTTTTTTGTTAATGTATAAACTGTTTCATGTACCTACCGTATACCCGTTATGCCTTAGCTTTACCTATTGTACTGCCTCTACTTATTGGGTATATTACGTGGTTGGTTGTATTTGATTTTGTTGGTGATATAATATATGTTGCTGCCCAATTGCTATCTAATAATAAAAATTCTGCTATTGAGCTTACTCTTTGTGAAATACACTGTAGTTAAGGCTGAGTAAGTATTGAAATTACCATATTTTCGCGAAATAACAGGCCGGGCGTTATTTAGAGTAATGGCCCGAATTAAGCTTAATTTAGGCCAAAATTTGAAATTACACCCGGCGCGTTATTTCGCGAAAATACGGTATCATAATTTCTACCGTGAGTTGCTGTAAAAAATTCAGTTATTCACTATTCTGGCGACCACAGTATGTAGTTAGGGCTGATTGGTTGCATGTAATTATCATGATTTCTATCAATTTACTATAAAGAATTTTGATACAAAACTTATTAATGCAGTACATATAGTAGTTATAGTTAGTATTGGAATTGTCAGTAAAGGTATAATTTCTACTATGAGTTTAAAGAATTCAGGTATAAAATTTTTAATTGCTAATACGATACACATAGTTGTTGAGTTAGTATTGGAATATTGTGATTTCTATTATGCTATTATAAAAAATTCTGTTATAAAACTTATTCGATGTTTCGTGGTTAAAATTAAGGATAAATGTATGCATCGCACTCTTATATATCGCATGTATATATAATTATTTATTGTTTAGGCGTGACATAAATAAATTAACTGCTTTTTTATTAGTTAGAATTAGGGTTAAGGTTTATAGGGTTAGGGTGTGGAAGAAAAGAGCTTTACAGTAAAATTTTGCAAAGAATTTTTTTTGTTATAAAGTAAAGAACAGTTTCATTGACTTTTGTCAAAATGAACGTTTGTTTTGAATCTTCCTGATCGTGTTAGGTTACACATAATCTTGAAATTTTATTGGCCTATCATTAAGATGTAATGTACAAGTACATCGCAGAGATGCGACGCCTATTTAACTCCTATTAGTAATATATTTAATTAAATAATTAATCTATATATAGTGTTATTTATATTACAAACATTTATTATGCATTAAATATTTGGTATAACAAAGCGATTTTCGTGGATTCAGGCCTTTTTTGGGGTTTGATTTTGGGGGTGTGATTTTTTCCATGCGATGAATAATCATTTTCTAATATATTTTATTAGTAAACGTCTATTCGTTACATAGTAAGCGTCACATCCCTTTATGCCAAATATAGAAATATACCGATTGTAACATTGCCGCATGGGTGTGACAAATACCATGCGATGAATAATATTTAATATAGTAAATTTATGTTATTTGTTACATGTCGGCTTATTCGTCATGCTATTTTTTTGTAATTTAATTCACGAATTCGAGATTTAATATGCCGAAATCACGTGATTTTCTCTGTTATACGGAGTTTTAAACCTTTTAAGAGGGCCCACGAAAAATTCTCAGGTTTGCACGGGCCCTCTAAGTCAGGTTAGCCAGAATTTTCTGTTTAAAAATAGTGTACATATAATGTATATATGTGATATCATCAAATTTACATTATATATGTGATGTCACAGGATTTAAACTGTGACATTCATGTGTTATCCTGATATTCGTCATACAAAATTTTTTTAAATTCCTTACCGATATTTAAATTTTGTGACATTTTTATTAATAAATTCGAAAAAGTCACGTGCATTACAGAGGTTTGTGCTTTATGGTATTTGACTAGTCTCTAACCCGATGCTACGCACCGGGCTTTAATATTCTTAATTTTTTTTATATTCTTTTAATTATAATTGATATTTATTTTTATATTATTTTAATATTAATAATTTTTTC